AATTAAAAAATAATAGCAGTTGTATAATTAAGGTTTAGGCACAAAAAATTGGTTATATTTATTGTTTTTCAAATATACAAATCAAAATTATAATAAATTTGATATTAAAATGATAAACCAGTTACCTACTATACCGGCTTTGAAGTTTTGACAGATTCAAAAAGTTTAAAAAAAGACCTTTAAAATGTAGAAAAAGAATAGATGTTGACATAGATAAATAAATAAATAAAATAAAATACTTTATTTTCATCCCAAGAAACATACAGTTTATAGAGGTACACCTCTAATCATACAATTACTTGTAAAATTAGTTTTGTATTTGTTACAATGTTATTTTTTTTATTAGTTAGTGTAAATAACTATTTTTAATTATAATAAAGATTTAGGCATACCATTTGTTTAAATTTATTATAATTTACATTATAAAATTGTGACGGCACAAAATGGTTTGACAAGACAAAAAACTTAAATGTCAAAAACTGCTTGGTTTCTTTTCTCTGTTTAAAATTATATAAGCGTTACTATTCTTACGTAGTCGTAGAGAAAATAATGTCTGAAACACGTTTGGAATAGCATATTCCACTCTCGTAAAACCGTCACACTCGCCTTCGGCTCGTGTGTCAAATTTTTCCTCGAGCGGAATATGCTGTATTCCAAACTTGTTACAGAATGTACTATTCTTGTATTTTCTTGTACTAAATGTAAAAATTATTTTATTATCTCAATATAAAAATACAAAAGTATTATACAGTTTCTTGACGCCAATATTTGAAAAGATTATATGACCTTTTGATTTCGCCGTAGCAGTGCGGTTCATTGATTTAACTGATAGAGCGTTAAAAATTTTGTGTCTAGTGCCCATAAAACATTCTCTTCTCTTTTACTGTGAAAAACTGCTTCTAAATCGATTGTTAGTCTATTTTCAAGGGATACATTTTGATTTCCTCAGAAAAATTTGAGAGTTTAACGCCGGTAGATTCCAAAGTTAGAAATTCTAACGGGAATTCCAATAAATACAAATGTCACTTTTTGTACCTTTAACATTTTCCGTGTAAGAATTTTTAAAACTAATATTTTAATAATATTTTGCAATATTAATAATAAAAAAATCAAAGGATAAAATATTTTTTTAACATAATCATATTTTAAAGTTATTTTAATATTTTTAAGTATAAATAATTCTATAATAAGTTTAATTAAAAGAATAACGGGCAATGTTAATGATAAAAGTGACGTCAAAAATGTTTATTTTGATGGTTACTTTATTTTCGTATAGATGTCGCTTTATACAAATATTTAATGTTAATCATTTTTTAGATAATATTAATTATTTGTCGTGGAAAATAGTATATTAAAGAACTAATGTCATAAGACGTCATTTTGTCGCATGCGGGCAATTCATTGTAATGGGCGAGTAGGTACGACAAAAGGTCTTATCACATGAGTTTTTTATGCTATTTTATCTATTTTGCAATAAATCTATAAAAAAAAATTAATTTTATACCTTAAATTTAATAGTTGGTATCACAGTAATTGGTTTGAGAGTTAATGTCAAAATCGATTCGCCATTCCGTCCTTAATTTACTTATTTACAATAAGCGGCTGTTAATGTTAAAGAAAGAAAAAAGGGTTTTCTTTGGTGTTAAACAAAATTTATTGCCAGAAAAGTCTCGTAAGTACCAAAAAAATCATAAAAATATTATAACCAATATGCAAAATATTATGCTGTTTAAAGTATACCTATAAAACCAAAATTTTGAGTGGGATAAAGTATCTCATTACAGCACCGAAAGCATTGTTATAATGAAGTCATTATGAACGCTAAATAGATAAAGTATAGTATGCAACTGCAGTTGCCATGGTTTATAAACTTCTCAGGCACCCATTTAATTAAGCACTCGCTCGCAAGCTTGCTTGTGACTAAATTAAATTCGTGACTAAAATGGCGTTTATCTTGATACATAATATACTATTTATTATAAAATAGTTATTGTAGCACAAGAAAGTTGTCCATGAGGATAAAATATCATCCCAATAAAAATGACCATTTCTCAAGAGTTGAACACTATACTTTTTATAATCTATTCAAAGAATTTTAAAAAAATCGGGGCGACTACTAAGTATACTATCACAAAATCTGACAATCTCCCAATGTTTTAATTAATTAAAAAACAAAAAAAGTTTGGTAGTGGCTTTTGCACAAATTTTTGTATCCATTTATATTTTACAATGATACAAACAATAACTTGTATTAATGAAGTATAGCGTTTCTACTAAACATTACAAAAATAGACAAACGGCTACTGAAAATAAAAACTTAGTCAAACACTTTTAATAATGACTTTTGCAGCGTCGGCAATTCTGAATTCCTTGCGAGTGCCTGGTGCATTTAGCTTAGCTCGGTTGCATTTTTACAATTAACCATTAAATTTTGTTAAGAACGGTTCCGTCAGCTCTGCCGAGGGACTTCAAAATCATGTTCGGATATCTAAATATAGAAGCGCTGGAAGTTTGAGGCAGCTTTGTTATTGTTGATTCTAGATCCACATCTTGCCCTCCGTTTAAATTGTTTGATTAATTTCCTAGACCACTGAACCGGATAAAATTATTAAAATAGAGGTACCTCGAAAGTAGGCAATCCGGTTTTAATGTTACGTAATGTTTAATAGTTTTGACGAATACAGATTTCTTGAGAAGAGTTTTATAAAAAATGTGTTTAAAAACCCAATCAACCCGACAAAAAAAACATTTTCATTTAACGCCTTACATAAACTGCTAATTATTAAATTAAATACTAGGAAGAATTAATTAAGGCAATGATACATAACATTCAGTTTCAGTAATATAAGCTGCTTAAGAGTTAATGCGTAAGACAGACACCGTTTCTTGTTTGCAATCCCTTTTGTTTTTGATAGGTTCTCAGCGAGCAAAACCTTTTCACTCAATTAATTCCTTTGGCATCATTTAATTTGCGACAAAAAAAGTTACCTTATTAATTTTAGAATGCTTGGAATGATGAAAGTTTACTTTACTGAATTAGTGTGCTACCCAGCTAGAATAATATTGTACTAAGAGTTTTCCCAATTAACTTTACTAAAACAATAACTAATTTTAACAATTGAGTGTTAATTGTTAACCAGTGTTTTTAAATGTCACTTGTATCCCTTGGCTTCTAGGATCTTCATATATCATCATTGGTTTTACCTCTAAAAACAATAATATTATTCATTGAAGCAAAAAAGAAACAGGTTTGCGCACAGTGGCAGATGAAATCCAAAATCATCCGGATATGATAGCAATAGCGACACATCATAATTTCCTACGCCGCTGTCAACTTTGTGTGGATAGTTAAACATTTAATATGATTTTGTGGAACACTTAAAATAAAAATAAAATAGGCACATGAGCATCAATCGACGTAAAAAGTAAAAGGTGAAATTTAAAATCGACGGGAAAACCACGAAAACCTCGAGATACTTAATAATAAAAATTAAATATTAAGCACCTAAAAATAGCTGAGTATGCAAAACAAAAAACAATTATGATAACACAAAATTTTAATTTAAATTTTAAATGAATGTAGATTATTGCCCACTGTGCAAGCATATTTTGCGTTTTCACATGCCAGGGACAACCAGTGGCGGCCCAAAATTTGTTCTTTACTTTTTTTTTAAATGGCACCAATGCAAAAATGATAGAGGAAAAAAATTATTATTTTGGCGTGTACTATCATCCTTTTAAAAGATGACAACTTATTTGGTGATACCCTGTATATATAAACTACTTAACTATATTATAAACAAAAAACATATAAAAATCTCTTAAAATACAGAAGTTGGCACTGAGTTTTTAGACTTCCATATCTCGAAAAAACTCAGCCAATATTACTCTCTAAAAATGAATTAGTCATGACTTTTTGCAAAAATGACTAATTGAATAGTTATTAGTGGCTGCTTTTTCACTTGTTCCATGGTTAACCATGGAATACCATGGTATCCCAAAATTTAACAGTCAATTCTCATGAAAAAATTGTCCCCTGAATCCGAAAATACCGTCAAAAATTAAGTGGAGCAATTTTTTATATATATATATTTTATAGTCAATTCCATATTAAATGGAAAATTGACTATATCTTAAAGTTGTTATACTTTTGACGATATTTTTGGATTCATGGGACAATTTTACATAAGATTTGACTGTTAAATTTTGGATACCATGGTATTCCATGGTACAAGTGAAAAAGCAGCCATGGTCATTTTTGACATTCATTTTTAGAGATTACATTTTTAATATTTTTCTGTGAATTATTAAGTTCCGAAGAAGATACCATGGACTGTTTTAAAGAGTTTTGGGACACCCTGTACATAATACATTTATTAGTAGCAACATATTGCTTTATCTAATTAATAAGTAGGTACTTCATTATATTAGTTATTTTTATTAATAAACTAATATACATAATAATTATCGATATAGGCAGTGTGCTAAACTTTTAAAACCTTATAATGTATACAAGAATGTTTTATTTAAGATAAACAAGGTTTAAAATAAGGTTATCTCCTTACTCTTTTACAGAAAAAAACTAATAATTGACAAAAACTTGAACGGCGTATATTTATACATCATTAGTGTTCACCGCTTTTTTTTCAATAATTTTAGAAATTAGAATTTCTCCCTTTTTACATTTATGATTACCATCTAGACAAGATTTTTTACGCTTCAATTTATATAAGCTTTTACTTATTGCTGGAATTTAAATTTTAAATAAGAAAAGTCAGTGAATGGTAAATTAAAGCAAAAGAAAATTTGAAAAACAAATCGTTTGGTGTGTTTTTTTGACATAAATGCTAATTGCAAGATTATTATTTTTGGTGGCCTGGTAAATTATAAGAAAGTTAATATTTAAAAAAATCTTTACATAAAAATTACATTATCTAGATACTTTTATGGTATAAAACATAAAGAGACATTAATTAATGGTTGAAGCAATTGAAACAAACCTCTCGCCATTTTCCATTAATTTAAAAACATCAAACAAACATCGCATCGCACAATCACAGTCACCCATTAATCATAATCACAAAATCACAAATTAATCAAGTGGGCACAGGCCGAAAACCGTAACAAACGAGCGTGATACCTGTCGCGATCTGAGTGCAGTAGGCTCTGTACGTGTATGTGTTCGACACGAAAAAACAAACGACGCGTACCCTTGTCAACGGTAAATTGATATACGATGCTTATTAGATTGAAGCTGCTGGCTCATCGCACATCTTTGCCAGATTTAATCCAGTTCTTAAGAAATTTTATGTACTGTTGCAAGACAAACGATGAAAAATATTTAGTAGAATTTAATAGTACTTTTAAATACAGAATAAATGTTTTATTTCTAAATTACAAAAGTTTTTAAAACTCCTTGTAAACGTTTATTTTAGTAAACCTTTGTTCGTGCATTTTAGTTGGTTTGCGTTTAACAACTTTGTTGATATTAGAACAATATTTTCCTCGATATGTTTTATATCTGATTAACGAAGTTTCAAATAAATATTTACACACCTTCGTGCATTCTCATTGTTGGAAGAATTAAGTTCCTAGTTCTTATGTAGTGAATTAAGTGCTCTAAGTTTAAGTTTCAATATTTGATTTTGTTCATATTCGTGTGAATTACACTGGGGCTGAATTTTAATTTTATGATAAACCCCTTTCATAAATTTAATTATTAAGAATTTTGTTTATACTTGTCAGTAAACTATACAGTATGAAAAACGCTCGGACACGTAAATCTTAGTTTTTTATTTTAAATCGTATAATTATAATTTTAAATTTTTCTCAGGCAACTGTGTCTAAAATATACGCCTCATTTTATTGACAAAAATTCCACACAGGTGGTTTGGAAGAGAAGGTTTTATAAAATGGCCAGCAAGATCCCCAGATGTAACACCTCTAGACTTTTTTCTATAGGAAGATCCAAAAAACAGTGTGCGGGAACAATTTTAAAGTAGATAACTTAAGTGTCATAAAGTCATTTTGAACATTTATAAGAGTAAAGAACAGTTTAGATTTAAATTTTAAATTAATTAATTAATTTTAAAATAAAAAGCATAACTTGTACCAGAACCAGAATAAATAATGCGGAAAAAAAATATTTTGCACCAAGGACGTATTTAAAATAAATTTAAAATTATTTATTACCAAAAGCTTTTTATTTTGTTTAAAAATTTATGTGAAGCTGATAGCGTTTGATTAATGTTTGTTGAACTTTTTTAATTGGCCTTTTTGCGACTGTACCAAACAAATTATAATGTTGAACTATGTTGAACAACTCGGTCTTAATTTTTAAATAATTTGTGCAATGTGCTAAATTAATTTTTCAAGATAATATAAAAACTTTAATTGATTTTCTTTTTTTAATTTTAATTTAATTAATTTATGGTATCGTTTTTTATAAACGGCTTTTTTAAACATCCCAATGTTTTAGGTATTACAAGACCCTTGTACGGCTTTTATAAATCCTTTACAATAATGGGGTATTAAGATTACGGGAATTTCAGACCCTAAACCCAGATCTAATATTTTAAATACTTTGGGTACATGCAAAATTACTTTAATACATCATTTTGACCGTTAACACGTTGCTCGAATAAATTTTATGGTTTAATAACGTCGTAATACAGGCTATGAAAATAGCCATTAGTTATAAAAATAAAATATTTAAATAATGGCATCTTAGGAAGGATTATGCCAAAATTGGAATTATTATTTTTTTTAAACATCTCAATAACCAGAGACATAACATGTTAAAGATTCACCAAGAAATGCTCCATCAAATACCTATTATTACCGAGTTATTATCTAAAAATGATTTAAATTAAATATTTGTATAGAGCGCCATCTCTAAAAAAATAGAGTAACTTGCGTAAGAATTTCTAACTTGGAAAATTTATCCCTTGAATATGGACTAACAAGCTTTTAAATCTGCTATAAAAGCAGATTTTCACAGTGAAAGTGAAGAGAATATTTTATAGGCACTTCACCCGAAATGTTTTAATCTATATTAGTTATAACTTTATAAAAAAGTCAGAACAAACTTGCATATAAACTTTTCAAATAGGTATTGGCGCTGAGAAACTATTTAAAACTTTTTTTTTGTTGTATTAAGATAATCAAATAATTACCTCACTATTATTTTACAAGAAGGGCACTTTATTTTAACTATGGTATGACATTTGACAACTGTCAAATTACTTCAGCCCGTGACTAAATGGCCACAAAGCCACAACTTGTCAATGTGTATTTAAATTTTAAAAGGTCATTTAGTAGGTATAATGAAAACATGTACGATAATTATCGTAATTATAATTGGGGGAGAAAAAAAAAATTTTATTAAAAAAGTTTTTTTTATTTATTTTCATACAAATAGAACGATAGGTACAAAAAAAGATTTTGACAGATTTGATGTTTGCAAAATAAATTTTAAGTATTCCAAAGCATATCTGACTTAAATTTATTGCAATACTCACTGGTACTGGCTTTAGTATTAGTTATTCTGGTTTAAGTGCACACAATAAATATTTGCAGAACAACATAAAAACTTCCAAAAAACATAATTTTATCTTATTCATAATAAAAAAAAGTTTTAAGTGGAAAGGTACTAAAAAATATATCTGCACTTAAATATTTTAGTTAACAATGGAAAAATATAATTTGCAAACTCAGACTATTTTTTACTATAACTAAGTAATAATCATAAAAACCTAATAATGGATAACATTAAGTAACCATCAAAAACAATTTTAATGCCTATTTTAAAAGCTTTTATGACTATTTATATCGACGACAAATAAAAGGAGTGACATTTTAAAAACATGTGTATAAATGTATATAAATAAGGGGTGATAATTTAGGTCTTCTTGGCCAAAAATACACATCATGTTTACCATTGTATCATATAACAAGGCATCTATCACTTTATGAAATAACCATTAACGGTATTTTTTATACTTGGAACTAAACTGTACTTTGTACAGAATTTTTATTAACAAAAACATATTTATTATATATACATTATATATTAGAAACATATACCCAGAACTAATTTAGTAATAAACATAATTATAACTATTAAAAACAAATTGTCGAGCACTGTTAAAATAAAATTTATGTTCCACTTAATTATAAATTCAATAAATTAAATTTTCGCACCACTCACCTATGTATGGGTCCACGTCAAATCAAACACAATAATGGAAAAATTATACCACACTGTCTTTATTATTTTGCCAGGAAAAATCTTAATTTTAAAGGTTATACAATAATTAATATAAGAGAAAATAAATTGTTGTAATATTTTAATTTTGAATATAATATATGAATAATATCTTTTTTTAATTTCTTAAATAACTCCATATTTGACTATATCGGTTTTCTCAATTATGCACATTTTGATTTGCAATTTTTATTTTTTCCTCCATTTTTGTAGAATCTGACGTAATCGGCTTTTTTTTAAATACGCTAAAGAAGTATCGGGTTTTCGCAACGCGCGCGCCATCTGGTGGACTTTGAATGCATTGCGTGAATTTAAGAATTGTCAACAATAAATTTAAAGCACCGATATACATAATTTTTAAATAAATAGGTAGTTTTTTTTACAAAAGAGAGGAACTCAACAAAAAGGAAAAAAGGAAAAAATTAAAAACTTCACTGAAAGAAATTTGTTGCTAAAAGTAAATACAAATTTATACTAAAAATTTTATACTAGTGCTTTACACATTTATACTACTGTTTATTATGAATGTATGGTAAATTTTGTAATACATTTATTGTAAAGAAGATATGTTAGATCTAAATAAAAATAAACTTACCCTTACTATAAAATGTAAACTTTAAGTGAATTACAGCAAAAAAATATTGCTAGAAACACCATTTATATTGCTAGGGCAGCAATAGGCTGCTAACCAAACGAATATATTTGTTTTAGCAATGTATGTGGTAGTCTATATATGAAACATAAAATATATTTGCCCTAATTATTTTTTTATTTAACTTTAGTATATATTTCTTTCAGTGTTTTTTAGTACTCGATTTCGATTGATTATTACTTATATATAATGATATATCATTGATTAAGAAACTCAACGCTTAAATGTTTATAACGGGTGATTCATTTAGACCTTTTTTTTTTTAATTCTAAATAAAACGCATAAAATGGAATTGGATGGAGAAATCTTTATTATGACCTGAAAGAACAATCTTTGACATTTATTTTTTGGCAATAATTTCATTTAAATGCTGGCCACGACGGCACACACAGCGCGCGAAACAATAGCTTTATTGAGAAATCATTTTGGTGAGCAGATAATTTCGCGTTTTGGACCTGTCAATTGGCCGCCTAGATCGTGTGATATCACACCCTTGGACTTTTTTCTGGGGTCATGTTAAATCAAAAGTCTTCGTCGATAAGATCGCTACGATTCAGGACTTAGAAGCCAACATTACTCGCGTAATTGGGCAGATACCGGTCGCAATGCTAGAAAGAGTGATCGAAAGTTGGACCTTCCGAATAGACCACGTAAGGCGTAGTCGCGGCCAGCATTTAAATAAAATTATTTTCAAAAAATAAATGTCAAAGATTGTTCTTTCAGGTCATAATAAAGATTTCACCATCCAATTCCATTTTATGCGTTTAATTTAGAATTAAAAAAAAAAGGTCTAAATGAATCACCCTTTAGTTACGTTAGTGTGTGTATTTTATCAAAGGGATCATGGTGAATCATTGTGTTTTTAATTGTAAATAAAATTCAAGAACTAAATCATTGCATTTTCATGTTTTGCCAAAGGATTCAATTCGGCAAGTACATTTGTATTTGCACAAACATAACCTTAAAATCAATCATTTTTATATTTGAGTTCTCTAAAAACGCCGACAACTGCATTTTAAACAACAAAATATACGTACGAATTCATGGCAACATAATATTATATATAATATAATGGTATTTTACTGTTGAGTGAAGACTTTAAAGAATTCTTAATCAACGCTTTTAATAATGCTAAATGCTGTTTAAATTTAGACAACTTATTTGTTTGACAATTATTACTAAATTAAAATGTTTCACTTTTCAGGTTAATCAATGTGTATTTATTGTATCTAATAGGTACA